AAGGGTCATTAATTTTATAAATGTACGATACATTTTTGATGGTAAGTATGCTGCTATACCACAGGATCCATTATTGATATATTGAAAGATTGCTGTTTTTTCATCTTCTAACATGTGCAAGGGCGCAGTATATATGTTAAAAATTATCGGACTGAGGCAAGAACCTTGTGGAATTCCACCCGTCACAGTCAGCGATTCTGACCCTAGAGTCAGTACACGCCTATGAAAAAAATTCAAGATCCATGAAGACATCTCAGCTGGTATGTTATAACGATCAAACGTATGGCTCAACTTACTTAGATTCACACAATCGTAGGCTTTTGATATATCAAGTGACATTAATACAACTTTACAACCCCGGCTCTTTTGTCTTGCGATCATGTAGCCCAACTCATTAATGCACATTGCCCCGGATCTACTCTTCCGATATGCATAGCTTCTAGCTGGAATAATATTCATCTCATTAACAATGTTCTCTAATCTGTTCTTTAACATGAGATTGATTAATTTGATGAAAACTGAAAGTAGAGATATTGGTCTGTAATTTTCAATGCAACTTAAATCAACTCCCTTTTTTGGTATTGGTACTATTCTTATCCTGCGCCACTCCTCGAGAACCCGATTGTTCACCCAACAAGAGTTTAAAGCTTCATTAAGATTTTTCAAGTTTGTTCGCGAGAGAGCTCTAATCATGCTATATTTGACCCCGTCAAATCCAGCTGCCGACGCTTTCGTTTTTTTTGCTAGTACATCATCTAGCTCTTCAAGTTCAAATGGTACGGTATTTTGACTAAACATAGGGACAAAATTGAAGGTCTGAATGTCAGGCGGTATTTGATTTTGTAAAAACAGTAGATATTCTAGATTTTTGGAATTTTCCCAACTATTGCGAGTGACAGGGTTGTTAACCAATGCTTTATGAGATCTAACTGAAGCCCAAAACTCTTTACTGGAGGTGCTTTTACTAATTTCGTTAAGGTGTTCTTGTCTAGATTCCCTTTTCGCTTTGTTTCTAGCTTCATTCCAAATTTTCACAGTCTCTTTATAAGTATTATAATTTGTTTGGTTACAATCATGATAAAAATATAGTAAGGTAGAACCGCTGAGAGTCACTTTTAAAATTCTTGACGTTTCCAAACAATTTAATTTTTAAATTTACTCACAAACTCACACACACATTTTCATTTTCTATCTCAAGCAACAACAATTTCGAACAATTTCAATTTTTTATTTTCACTTTTATATGATTTTAAAATGTTGGCAAACTTCAAAAAAAAATCATGGCCGACAAATTGAGAGAACGGTTATACCTTGCTATGTTTTTATCATGGTTACAATATCTAGTTAACTTTGCCCTTGCTGCTTTCATCCTTCTAAACAACACGGAAAGGGAATCGTTCCACCACGATTTGGGCGTCCAACCTCTTTCTGAGGGAATCTCTACAGTGGAATTGAAAATGGCTGATTTAAACGACTCAGTTATCTCGTTGATTGACGAAGAGAGACAAAGCTCTGCAATCGATTCATTTAATTTCTTGTTGGATCTAAACTGTATGAACTGAGGCGCTAACAGACCCTGAAGTTGAAAGATGATTGGAAGATGGTGACTCTTACCTAGATATACAGAGGATATATCCCAGGTGAAGCCATCAACTCCAAAATTTGAAAATGTTAAATCAAGAACACTGCTGTGTGACTCATTGTTTTGCAGCGATTGATAGTACGTATGTTTGTGGTTATTTAGACATCTGAGGTTAGTAGCAGACAACATATTGCTTAACATTGTTCCTTTCGGCAGAGATACCGTGTCACCGAAAACAGAGCAGCGGGCATTGAAATCGCCACCAATAATGGTATTCTTATTCATATTTGCAAAATCGAACATTAGTTTACACGCATTCGTGAAATCGGCAAGTGACATACTGGGATGAAAATATACAGAGATAATGTTAATATTTGGATTTAAATTGGTAGTACGAATGGCCAGTATTTCATGGTTTGTTTGAAGCTGTATCTTTTTAAATCGTATCGGTTTTTTAATGGCAATAGCAACACCACCAAATCTGCCTTGTCTAAACCTGTGCACAAGATTATAATTAAGCAATTTTAGGTTAAAATCGTTCTCACTAAATGTAAAAATTTCAGATAGAAGCACAAAATCAATATCATTGTTATTTATGAAATATTCAAGATTATATTTATTTGTTTTATAACTCTGTATGTTAAATTGTAGAAATCTCATTCACAATAATGTCTTCTTGTAGCCATCCCCCCATCTCCCATCATTACATTCGTTAAGGTTATATTTCGCTTTGAAATTATTGAACATTTCGATAGATGTTGGCTCCATTGCAAATTCGCAAAGATGAGCACACATTTTGACTAGGTCATTGATAATTTTTTCAAGTTCTGTTACTCTTTGAGTGTTGACTAGACATATACCTCGTGTTTTGGGATCCGGGTTATCCTTCTTTTCTTTGTGAATTACCCTTTCTTTTTGTACAGGATTTACCATCTTTTTATTGCCTTCCTTAACCATTTTGTTATACCTCGACTTTGTTAAAAGTCTATTGACTTCGCTTTGTGTATCTCTGACTGTATCTATACTATTCTCCTTGCTGATGCTAGGGAATTCCTCGTCATAATTATCGAGTAGAGAAAAACGGGTTTCATAACCATACTTTTCCTTGTATTCAAAAAAAGATATATTTTCAATGGTCATAATTTTTTGTACATCTTGACGATTAACGCGGACCGGACAAGAACGTACTTCTGCGGTATGGTTTAAGGCACCACACAGCAAGCATTTAGTTTGACCACAGGCCGGGTCACAGCGCGGAATAGTGCCACACTGTAAACACCTTGCCTCTTTGGCTTTACAAAACGCTGCTATATGTCCCAACCGCCCGCATTTTTTACATTGCTTGACAGCAGGCACAAAATAGTCGACTTCACAAATGCATTTACATAATTTTACGTGTTTTGGAATTTTATTACCCTTGAAAGCAATTTTCACTGAAGTCGTAGGTTTTAGTTCGCTACCTTCTCTCCTATTAAGTCTACTTACTGATACAATCGCCAAATCACTTTCAATATTTTCAAGTATATACTCATCGGAGTATTTTAGTGGTATTTTTCTTATTATACCATATTTTTCAGTCAAAGATTTTGGAATGTAAGCCAATAAATTTCTGGGTTTGAAATCGTTTTTTGTAATAAAATTATTTGCATCAGTTGCAGTATCAAAAGTCAATTTAGCCCGCCCGTTGCCAAGCGCCCTGAGGTCAGCTAACCCAACCAGAGAGAGATCATCTATCAGTTCCATGAAAAATAAGTTTGAAAAAACTCTTTTCCTTATGCCCCTTTCATCAGGCAACACTTCCAAAAATACAATGTACTTTACCTGGTCATTCGTCTCATACAGTAACGACGGCTTTTCAACTTTGGTCAGTAGCACGTGCCTCGGATTAATGTTTGAAGCTCCAAGAGAGCTTTCAGACAAATCCACTTCGGAATCGCGCGATTCCCCCGTCGCATCCATCAAAGCCTTAAGGTTTACCAATTCTTTTGTACAAGGACGTTTTCCACTTCCAACATTGCTTTTTCCTTTAGAATTTAGTCGCTTTTTTAACTCACGAAACCTAACCTCCATCGGGAGGAAGGCAGTCAGGAAAAACAAGGACCAACTAGTTCAGCGAAAAATGACTTGTTAACGAGAAAATGAATATATTATACTTATACACGTGTATTGCGAATATAGGTGTGGAAAAATTTGCTTTGTTTAAATTTAATAAGTTTGTCAAATAGTTTTCAGTCCGGAAAGTCGAAACGAAGCGTGTATCTCAATTCGGCGCCAAAAACGAAGTCGGATTACAATTGTCAAAACCTGCCGACTACATAGAGATGCGCACGATAGAAGCATTAATCGATAAATTTTTCAGTTATTTGAATTTATAATGACTGCATTTCTTTATTCATTCTGAACGTTTGGATACAATTTTTTGTTTACTTATTCTTTAGAACGTTCCTGATGATATGTTAACATATATTTCAAACGCATTCTTTTTATTCCGGCTGTGAAATGGGATTATCCGGAATGTATAAAGATACGCAGCCAATATGTAGAGAAAAATCATTGCTTGCGAACACGTACAACATACATATCGTCGCTACCTTGTCAAACTATCGAATGTGAAAATCGGTACTTTTCAGGAGAACAAAGAAACTGTTGTAAAAAATATTGCTGTCATTAGGAAAAAGTGTGGGATCCAACACTTTGTTAAAACCAGTATCCTCTGCTTCTAACTGCCGTACCTAAAAAAAAGCGTTGGTAGAGCGTTTTCAGACGCCTAGCGTTAACGCCGAAGTACCATACGTAAACAAAAGCGTCACGCTACGTCAACGGCAGATATAACACCAACAATAAGCAAGGGTTTTTTTGTGTGTACAACGAAAATGACAGTTTCGCCGTTTTCTGCAGCCAACTTCAAAACCTAACGTCCTATCAAAATCAGATTTTCCAACTGCTCAGCGTTGACGCCGCGTTGTTTCGATATGCTTCATACAAATTGTACCTGCATGAGAATTATTTGATAGCCAGGCAAAACTGACGCTTTTATTTAAGTAAAAGCTTTAAATTTGCCAAGGTTCATACCCAACAAGCATTTCAGTAAACGTTTTTAAAAATAACTTAAATTAAGTTTGCTATAATAAGCGTTAAATAAGCATTTTTAATATTAAGCTTATTAAAAGTTTTTTTAAATAAACCTTTAATAAGTTTTGAGTGCGAATGTTTATAAATAACTTAAACTTATAAATGAAATGTAAATGCCAACGACATGAAGTAGTAAATATAAAATTTTTTCAATCGTAAGTGACGTGTTTACGTTTTTTAAAATATATTATTAAAAGAAAAAATTAAATAAAACCGATGTGGTAAAAAAAAATCCAATCCAGGACCCGCTGCGCTAATCGGTGGAGCATTCGAGTCTTCAAATGATGAGTTCCCCTTATCCTTTCTTAGTTTAACATTCAATTAAAAATGTATTAAATTTTTTTCAGAAAAGTTCATCAATGAGAATGGCGGCGATGAAGCGGAATATATAGCTGCATCGATGTCGCTTTTCCAATTTGCCAATAACCGCAAGTAATTGAAAGCACGCAACAAGATGTAATCATTAACTATTTTATGCTTGATTTGTATGTGTTATTGTGAATTTGTATGCTAAAATGTCTATTCCCTATTTATATTTTCGCGACTGTAGATGAGTCCGCCGAAAATTCGCATTTCGTTTAGTTTCTAGATGTTAAGCAATCTATGTATGAGTTTTTAATGAAATATCTTTAAATAAAGGGTTATAAAAATGTTTATAAAAAGCTTTCTTTTGAAAATTTTTAGTAAGTTTATATTGATACGCTTATAAAAAACTTTTTTGAACCTTTATTATAAGTTTACACTTTTACGCTTATACAAAGCTCTCTTTTGAACATTTATTACAAGTTTATATTTCTACGCTTATAACCAATGTTCCTTTTCGATTATATTACGCTTACTTTCAAGCGTTTTATAAACAAAAAATCAATGTTTTGTAAGCTTAATGTTTATAATTGAAAACTTAAAAAAAACTTTTTTTAAGTTTATTTTGCTTGTTGGGTAAGTTTCTGGCGTTCACACCACTCATAAACAAAAACAAATACGTGTAATTTTTAAAGAACTAAAACGAATTGTGTGTGTCTAATGTGTTTCTTGGTGTTAGGCTTTTGCGCTTTTCATATATTTGTGTTGGCGCAGCGTAGTGTTACCTATATCTGAAACTTGGTATTTGCACATATCAGACACTGCACTACCAGCGCCAATATACTGCCTTGTCGACTGCGTTCAATTTTTGACATGCGCGACATGCCGCCGTCAATTAGAACAAATTTGTCGCCGGAATTCTCTATAGCTGTCACCAGAAAAATAAACAAAAACGAACTCAAGTCTGATTTCATTCAATTAAGCTAGTTTTTTTGGGTTTCGTCGGATTCATTTTCGGACATGGAGCCTTTGCAGATTAATAGTGGTGAGGATTTTGTCAAGGTCAACATATCCAATTCTAAAAATAATGGCATCGCATTGGACCTGAAATTTGCTAAAAGCCTTTCGGTGGGACAACTGAAGGTATGTTTTGTAGCAATTTAGATTTTGCTTACACCCACATAATTGCTGTGAATCATTTGTTAAAAATTTCTCTTCCGAAAAGTGCAAATTGGAAATCATCACAGGCGGCAATGCAGCTACTATGCAACTGGAGTTGTATAATGGTGAACGGTTGGTCACAAAACTGCATGACGACGCCACCTTGCTGGGCGCATTGCCAATAGAAACGGGTATGCGCATACATGTAATTGATAACTTCAACTGGATAACAGATGTGGAGAAATTCGAATTGACCAATGAACAATACGAAACCAAACCGGATACAGTGCGAAATTTTCTTAAGAAGAATCGCATGGGCAAGTATAATGAGGAAGAAGCGCGTCAGCAGGAGGAAAAATTGCAACGACAGAAACAGCTGGACCAAGAACGCGCCGACTTGTGTACCATTGGGGCGCGATGTCAGGTAGAGTGCTAATGCACTGAATAATAAATTTCATTTAACTGATTCCTTTTAAAATGTCCAGGTAACAGTGCCAGGTAATCCATTGAGAAGAGGCACAATAAGATACAAGGGACCAATCGATGGCAAGAAAGGCATATTTATTGGCGTGGAGTACGATGAGCCACTAGGCAAAAATAATGGAAGGTATGTACAAACATACGTTCATGTACTTGACAATTCGAAATTTTATTTTTTATATAACTTGTACTTATTTGCAGTATTGAGGGTAAGAGTTACTTTAGTTGCGCACCAAACTATGGTGGTTTTGTGCTGCCAAATGCTGTAGAGGTGGGCGATTTCCCCCCAGAAGATGCGGGTCTCGATGATGATGAGATCTAAGCCGGGCGCACTTAAACTGTTGCCGGTCAGATGTATTTCTTCACTGTTCAGTTTGTATTAAGTCTATTATTTAAAATAAAAAATGTGAAATTAGTTTAGCTATTTTTATTGCATACTTTGAATTTGCAATAATATGAGATTTAAAATAACTCAAGGAAAGAGCATACAAAACATGCATACTTATATTTAGCATGTGGGTACATTTTAAAATAATTTTGAATAATTTAAATTATTTTCGGCGTATATGGCGTGATGAAATAAAATTACGAAACAAATTAAAACCCAAACCAGAAAAATCACCTACAACACACCTTAATCGCCGAACCGTAATACCGTGGCGCCCTTTTAAATACGGGCACAGCTCGCGCACTCCCACTTTGTTTTTTTTTTTGTTTTTTTTTTATATGGTACATTTCGTGCTGTCATTCGCGTCATGACTAAGCGCCGGCAAGGTGCGAGTGGGACGCGCTGGGCCACTTCATCGCACCCTACCAACGACAAAGCGAAATGTGCGATAAAGCTGTAATAACAGCAAGTTGCTGAAAGCATGTACACCAACCGGCTGCGTTGGTTTTCATGCTTCAGTCCATTCATAAACGCGGTAAGGTGCACAACCATTATATGGCTAATATCGCTTAGCAATTAGTAGCGCGGTTAAGTCTTGCCGGGCGCACAAACAATCAACAATCGAACACAGTATATGGTTTATTTACTTAGCTCTTTTTTGTTTATAGCAACTGTTGTTGTATTTTTAATTAGTTTTGTTAACACAAAAAAAGAGCAATAAGCTGCCAAGTCAATACTGATAAGTAAATAAATGATATGCAATCAAGTGCAATTGACGGAAGTAAAAAAAGTTTGCGAGAATTTGTTGCCATCAAAAAAAGCTGCGTTGAACAAAGGGCGCCAGTGTGTGCAATAAAAATACAATACACAAAATCTTGTTTTCTAAATGAAATCGAATTCAAATAGCATTGTAAATTTACTTGTACTAAATTGCAAACATACATATGTATGTGTGTCTGTATGTGAAGTTAAATGTGGCGCTGTTGTTTTAGTTTTTTGTTTTATTTGACTGCAAAACAAGTGTGAATTTTATTTTAGTGCGAGAAATTTGTGTACAATACAATATTTGTTGCTTGCTTTGGATAATGTCTGTATGAATGTACTGGTATTTAGTACATCGTATGCATCTACAAACTTACATACATACGTACATATGCATGAAAATTTGACATGCTGCGAATTGAAATAATGCAATGCAGTTACGTCTGGCAGACTTTCCCAAAACTATTTATAAATCAAACGACTGTTTATATTTTCTGAATCATAAAAGCGGGCTATATGAAGATTTTGGAAACAGATAAATTAAGTAAAGAAAATAAACAAACATGCAAATAGCGCGTATATCACTAAATGTAATTTGCTAGTTTCGGGACATTGGTGGCAAGAAAATATTGCAAAAAATACTTATTAAATCTAAAAATACATATGTATGTACTTAAAAAAAATTGAAAAACTAAGTTTTAGGGTAACCATAATACAAATGTAAATAAAATATCAAAAGTGAAAATTTTATTTAAAAGCAGCATTAGTTTAAAATAACATTAGTTAAAAAGTAAAAACTAACAAAAAAAAACCCGTCGCTTCACATAAAACGATCGAAAGTGCTAAAAAATGAAAAGCAACTCACTCATCCTAGCTATATTTATTACAACTCTTTGCCTGCAATACAGCCCTGGTAAGTATGGAATTATCTGATATTTTCGATTTGCGATAACACCTGCTGAATAATATTTGCAGTGCTATTGAATATTACTTTTACTAAGTGCTTAATGCAGCTGTATTTAAAAAATTGGATAGCAAATACTAAAATATACTGAAATTGGAACATTGTATTTGTGTATTTACTTTGCTAGCCGATGCCCATTAAAAAAAAAAAATATAAAAATATCTACCTCTAATCTCAAAATCGCTTTTCATGAAATTTCTGTAACTCAAAGTACATATTATCAGTTCAAATGTGGGCTTATAATATAACCTTTTAAGTGAAAAAAAAAAAATATATATAGTGAAACGATTTTCAAAAAAAGACCAAAAAACCTCTCGAGTTGCCCAATTCATTTACTCTGCATAGGTTGCTATTCATTTCAGAGCCAGTAAAAACCTCCTAAACTTTTTCATTTCATTGTGAACGTACTACCTTTTTCGATCACTAACAAAACCAAAATTATTTTTTTAACGTAAAAAAACTTGTAGTTAATTTTTAGATGCAAAAAAAAACTACCCAAACCACGATTTTTCTTAACCAAACGCCAAATGCCACTAATCTCATAAGTTCTGTAACTATTCAACTATTTATATAAATCGATGGCCTGCGCCTTGTTTTCGAAGTGGACCGTTACCCCCTTTCCAAAATTATTTCTATAAATCGATGACCAGCGCTTTGTTTGCGAGACCGAAACGATTATCTGGAGTACTCTGTTATTTTCTATTCCACTTTCATTTTGCTATTCCATTTTCGTTTAAGTTATGGCTCAACAAATTAAACATCGAAATAACAGCCATTCTGCTGCGTAGAATAGCTTTTACTTTGGTACGACACCGTCGAAACAGTTGTGCTTAACCACATCGCTTAATGGACCCATTCGACATTCGAGATAAAACCAGCAAACCAAGGAAAATTAAAAGCGGGTTGCTGTTGTTGTTGTTGTTGTAACAGTATACAAACTCCCCTAAGAGGTTTTGGGAAGTGATGCTGGAGTGACAGTCCTTTCCGCGCTTCTGTTTAATTACGATATCTCAAAGCTCCCTCAGCCACCACAGAGGGTATCCATTATTTCTTATGGAATTGATGACTTGTGCTCGAAAGTAAACGGCTATCTCTCCGAACTTTCCCTCTTCTTCCCTGCAAGGAGGCAAACCCCCCTTCCCCTCGAAATCCTCGGCAACCATTTTCCCCATCTGGACGAAAGGCGTCAGACCACAGCTGGAAACTCAGGTCGCTGACGAACAAATCCCGACCGTGAATAACCCGAAAATCCTCGGAATAACCTTCAACAGTCTGCCCTCTTTCTCGGCGCATATAACCGCAACTGTCGAGTACAGAGCCGGAACAAGGTCCTCAAGTCTAGCAGCACCTAGGGCAAAGACAAAGAAACGTTGTTGGCAACATACAAGGTCAGTCGGTTCGAAACTATGCAGCGCCTGCCCAAACACGACACTGCGGACCGCCACGAGATGCCTTCTGCCGTCGCCATAGCACCATCTACATGACGAGGCCCAAATGCTTCCCGTTACGGAGCATAACACAATGCTATGTAAGCAGTTCCTAGTAGGGTGCCACAGTCGTGGGCTCCCCAACAGACACCTGCTTGCTGCAGAGCCCTCACCTAGGCTCTTCAGAAGGCATCTATACAAATTTATAAATTTTAAGTTATGTAGATATACAAAAGAAATCCGCCGGCTTAAATCTTTTAAGTAAAGGAAACAATTTGGATACAACAAAATTAAATTGTGCAAAAATTGAAAGATTTGAAAGGTTTAAAAATTTATTTTTTATTTATTATTTGTTAAATTTATCTTAACTCGTCTCATGGTCACGAAAATGAGGTAGATAAGATTTATAAAGCTTATATAAGCACCATTATCAATTCGGCTTGGTTATCTCGTAATTATTAATTTTTTTTTTTGCGTTGGTGATGAGCAATATTTTTACAATTAATTCGCCCATTTTTCGCAGCCTAAAATTAAGTTGTGATGTCAGCAGAATAGCAGATAGAAAAATAGTTTACTACTTGCCAAGCATTGCTGACTTGATAATTTTTTAAAATAAACTAACTAATTTTATAAAAAAAATATATATGTAAGTATAATTTTCAAGCACGTTTATGACAGAGTTGTGTAGTTAATAGCAGTTCAGTTCAATCAAGAGAGAAAATAATTTTCATAATCGTATGCTTACATTTTTCACATCTGGAATGTGGAATTACGTGATTTTGCTGTTGAGATATACAATTTATTATTGTCAGCTTTGGTGCAGTTAAAATACTCACAATTGTATATACAATATGTATGTACATTAGGCTGGGTAGATTTTCATTTTAATAAATCTATAAATAAATTCTAATAAAAAGTATAGAAGAAACCATAGGTTGGAAATGAGTTTCGAGCCTGGCCAATTTTTAAATGAAAAAATTACATTTTCACGATAAAAGTAAAAAGTAACGATTTTTTTAACACAAAAAAAACTCGAAAAGAAGACATCTAGGACTTCACCGTTAATTTTTGCCATTTTTTGCTGTCGGTTTCTCTTGCATACAAAGACGATTTTTTATTATTTATTTTTTTTTTTTCAACAAAAAAATGCCAAATATCGACGGTAAGTCTTAGCTACTAGTACTTTATTTTAATAAAATTGAATGAACCACGAAACTGTATATTCAAAATCTTTCTAAAAAATCCATTTAAAAAGCTTTACATTTTTACTATAATTAAATGACAACAAAATAGATTGTTAGAACTTGTCAATATGTGGTGCGTTTATAATTTTGACACAGATTTTGGATTGGTAAATATGGTAAATCAATTAAATTGTTATAAACTAAAATATAGGCATATTGTATCCATTAGTTATAATAAAAAGGTGAACACTTTGTAAAACCGGCATAGAACGAAAAAAATAAAATCTTGATAAAAAGTAAATTTTTCTTTTAAAAATGCGCAGGCAAGAAACTCACTTCCGACCAATAGTTTCTTTTACATTTTCTCTTAGAATTTTCTATAGAAACAGGAAATACTATGCGATGCGTCGAAAAATTTTCGTCCGAACAATTTGACCCAGCCTGATGTATGTACATACATATGTATATGTATAGAAATGTTCATATCACATACTCGTACATACCTAGTATATGCGCACGCATGTGCACAATTTTTTGTGAATACTTATGATTCGTTGCTACAACAAATACCTTAGTTTGATATGATAAGATAAGATAGCAATATTTTGCCCACAGGCAACCGAAAGTACGCGTATGTATATATAAAGCCCTAAAATTCATTATTTTAGACTTTACCACCTTACAAGCAAAAAAAAGCTTGCCGTACATCCAATGCTGTGCTCCAAAAATATTTTTTTTAATACAACTTCGATTTTTTATTTTTGTTTTGGCGGAACCTAGACATTCGGCAATATTGTTTTTTTTTTTTTTAATAGGTCTAGAATAATTGAAATACTTCCTTAGCAAATGTTTCAATGGTTTTTGGTGAGCTTTAATTTACTGAAATTAGGGTGGTACGTTATGGCGATAAGAAGCCAATGAATTTCGAGACAAGAATTTTTTATTTTTGTTTTGGCGGAACCTAGGAATTTGACAATCATTTTTTTTTTAATAGTTCTACTAGAATAATTGCAATACTTCCTTGGCAAACGTTTATTGAGTTTTGATGAGTTTCAATTTACTGACATTAGGGTGGTACGTTAGGATGATAAGAACTGAGATCTGATGGGTAAGTTCAAGAACGTGGTACTTGAGGTAAATAACCTTTGGAACAAAAAACATTCATCCCTATCGCCAATTTCATGTGAATAAATCTTTCCCATAATTTTACATATCTACAAAACGGAAATATATTGGGAAATTATGTTTTTGTGTTACTTTATAATTCTTGGGAATATTTGTTCACGTGAAATTCGCGATAGGGCCGATTGTCCTCTCGAGATTAGAACATCGATATGTACATACATTAGAGTGGTTCAAATTTTTTGTTTGTTTGGAAATTCATTCAAACTTTTCAATCAGAATTTTAAGCAAAATTTTGGTATACTAAAGTGCCAATTTGAAGTAGTTAGGGCTTACTGTTGATTTTTAGCAATTCGTTTTTTTTTTTTTTGAAGATGTTGCTAATTCTCTTTATATGAAAAAAATTGGCGAACATACTTTCTATGGAAAAAATGCGCGCAGTACATCAACACTCCAGCTTGGATTATTAAGAAATATGACTGGAAGTTGCAATATCAGGCTTCCCTTTTAGTACGTGGAGGCACACTGTGATTTTGTACCCTGACACCATTTAAGGCCCCTCGCGACGGTAATGCGACGAACGCTAAGGAGGTTCTTCAGCGAAGATTTTATGATGTAAAATGTTTAACCTGTTTAAGATATTGGAGAGCCCAAGATGCATCCGCAACCGTTGTTTTAGTGGAAGATCATTGGTTTCTTGGGAACGTTTTCCAGTGGTTAATTCGAGCGGAGTATCAACAAAAGTCGGGGAAATCTTAAAACGGCAACTATCTGCAACAAAGCTGCATAATGCAGTAGGATAAGTCGAAAATTATTACGAGCAGGTCAACAAAATTTTGCTTACATTGAAATAACATAATTGTCACAGACTGATTTGCTTGCTCACCTCATGCTAGTCCCATCGAGAATCTGTGGGGATGGATGGTGCAAAAAATTTATGAAAATTTTGCCATTGAAGCCCATTATAGTGTAAAATTTGGATTTAAAAACTCCAGAAATGCATTTAGTTCTTTTTTTTTTTTTTAAGTAGGCTTGTGAGCATAAAATGGCAAAACAATATTTCTAAAAAGATCCTAAAAATTTGTAGAGAAAAAAATACCTACAGAAATGAAATAAAGTGAAGTTTTCGTTTAAAAAAATCAGCGAACCAAAACGGCAAAAAATTCTAAAAAATCAACAGAAAACTTCAGCGATTTGAAATTTACACTCGAAAAATTTCCAACAATTCTAGATAATAAGTCTGAAATTCTAATGATTTTTTTTTTAAGTTTATTAATTTTTGTGAACTTTGCGCAAGCTTTTTAACTTTTATTTATGTGGTTGCTGTTATAAATCGAACTATAATTTAATCGAAAATGATTAAAAATAAATAAATAAACATAAGTGGCAAGCAACACCATTCTGAATTTCAGTGCTATTATTTTGACCGCAACTGTATGTATAAAGCTATGTATGCGCACAAGTTCATTTCTCCATTTAGTAAATATACGATAATACGATAATAAAATATCGCATGCTTGAATTTCATGACATAGACTGCTAAAAATAGTAGAGCCATTGCAGAAAACAAAATGGGAAAATGCCAACATAAAAAAAAAATAATAAATAAACCGAATATTTTGTAAAACAAATTCATTGAAACATGTGCAGAATTCCCTTTGCGCACATAAACGATACAAAATTTACAATTACCAAGGGACAGACAGTGAAATATTTGTGCTGCAGCGGTTGATTGGACGAACTCCAAACGATCAATCTGTCGATGCGCGGGAGCGACAAAGTGATTTGTTTACAAATAATACACCCACAAATGTGCAAAGAAATGTACAACATTGGCACAATTGGATTAATAAAAAAACACATGGTGTCCTTTTATCATCAACATGTGATTTTTAAAACTAAACAAATACATTAAGACATAAAAAGTAATAATAAAAAACATCAGTCGCAAATTAATGAGATCATCAAAATATGTTCACTGATTTTCGAGACTATCGCTACGACTCATTACTTACTTATTTACTAGTCTTTAATTTACACCTACATATTAGGCGTGAATTATTGATTTACTATATTATAAATAATCGATATATGGGCTTACGAGCCATTATTGGATTTACTATGGGCAATTTCACAAAATATTCTATTAGAGTAGGTTGTAACACAAATTCATTAACATAAATACAACATACGAGCGCCAATGAATGAAAATTAAATGGCTTAGCAAAGTAGAGCAATGTGTTGTAGAAACGAAGCTCACGCACTTCCACTCGACCAAGACGAAGCGCGAACTACAATAATACGGCTTAAAAACAACAATACCCTTGGAGGCGGCAGCTGTTAGCAACATTTGGTCTAATGAATACGCGCACGAGGATTGGAATTTGCTCAATCCACAAGGTAGACCCTGCTACATAGTTGCGGTTCTATTGATTATTTCCGTGCGAAACACTGAAGTTTGGGATTCCTTCATAACTAACACGGCCGTGTAGAGTGCTGTTGCGCACAACTTTACCTCCATCTAAATTAAGAAAGACCTCTCCCCGCCGTTGGAGACCAAACGAAGTTTTAGACAAGCAGTTGCGTTTATGGGCGGGCGTGAGCAATCGCGGGTCCCATTATTTTCTCATATCCAAATATTTATGTATGTATGTGTCTAATATGTAATGTATCTCCTCAATAGAGAATCCTATTGCCTCCACCAACGTATGTGTCCAATATCATTCATTCCAAGGATTTTATCGACATTTTCTAGTGCGCCTTCTTTAAGGTAACCCCTAAAATGACTTCAGTAGTCTAGAAAAAAGAAGTCTGATGAGGAGATGGGTGATCTCCGAAATAGCTGCTATAAAAATATGTATTATAGTCTAGCACGGCAATGGAGCACCAATAACATTTTTTATCAACCTTCAAATATGTCAATTGAAATGGCGGTTTTTCGTCACAGAAACAGGGCCTTAGGCTTAAAACCCGACGGGAAATTACACTTATTTTTATGAATAAATATTACTTTGCCAGAAACAGAGAATGTTGGGGGGAACAAATTTTGTAGAAACTGAAGGAATTAAAAAAAAAAATTGCTACTGGAAACTTAATACGGACCTCGTTGACCTATTTTTATGGCATAAGGCTTTATCCATATTAGCTTAAAAGCTCATAAAGAAATCCATTGCTTATGCTCTATGATTCAGTATAGCGCAGGTCGTTAAGAAGTGTTGACGTGTGGGAGCCAGGAGAACGCTAAAAAAGCGCCGCGAATTTAAGTCTTGAAGCTACTCTAAGTATTTCCTCACCACGGTATATGCACATACGTTTTTCGGAAATTTTCCAGTTATTTATTAATCGGTCCACGTTCTGAAAGGCCAACTAGACTCAGAAATGAGTTTCTAACATTCAAATAACACTTCAATTTCGGCGATTTGTCAAACATCACTTATTTTGCACATTTTCCTAGCTCTCACAGACTATGCAGGTGATTGAACTAAGTGCTAATTGAATGAATAATTCATGCCATTTACTTTTTCACAAATCACTTAACTTGCGCAGAAAAAAGTGTAAATGGAAATCTTAAATACTGTTATTTATTATTTTATTTTTATTTCAGCAGCGTCTGCTGAGGCTGCGGCGACAACCGACGGCGATACCGATTACGCAAGAGATGACTACTACTACGAAGATGATGCGGACGCGGATGAAAATGACGACGGCGGCGGCGAGGAAGGTGACGATTACGAAGATGAGGTGACAGACGGGGAGGCTGCAGATATGAAACCAGCAGAGCTGAGAGCACAACAACCCTACTTTGTAGAACCGGAAGTGGAAATCTACACACAACCAGCCCAAAGCTTGCTGATCGATTGTGCGGTACAGAATATACAAGGTAAGTGGAACTGGGAGCTGACATCCTCATAAGAGTCCCTAATACTAACTGCTAAACTATTTACTATTTACTTCGAACAGCTAACAATGTGATTATGTGGTACAAAGATAAAATTGTAATCGCGACAGGACAATTCGTTATGTACCCCAATGTGGATGTGCTGAAGAATAACTCGCTGATCATTAAGAATGTCACAGTTAAGGATGCAGGCGATTACTATTGCGAAGTATTGCCCGAAAGGGTGCGCATGCATGCGCTGTTGGAGGTCGACGAAAGTTTGATGATATTCTGCGATGGACAAGAAGTGACTAACCGCAGCTTGGTATTTCGTCAAGGCGAGCCACATCATTGCGAATGCAAGTACTATTCACTGGAAAATGTGCAAATCAAGTGGTTTATAGATGTAAGTGCAATATTAGCATATACATACATACATACATACACATAAGTACTCGTACAATTTTCAAGCTCACTTCTTTGTTTATTATTACTCACACGAAAAGGGCAAGCGCGCCGAAACCGTGGTGGAGCGCGTCTTGGGCGAACAACTCTACATTGACAATGTGGACACCATACATGGCGGCATCTATCAGTGTTTAGCCGATGATCGTTCGCAAGAGCCACCGCATGCCATGATCATTGTTGATGTTGTTTATGCGCCCAAAGTTTCCACTTATCGGCATTATGTCAATGCGGAGCAAGGTGGCGATGCTGAATTGTATTGTGATTATGCTGCAAATCCAGCTGCTGAAGCGAAGTGGCTGCGAAATGATAAAACGCTGGAGAAGTCAAGAAAATACGCCTTCAATCAGGTGACGCATAAAGGACGCAATCGCTCGATCTTAACGGTGATGAATGTGCGCACCAATGATCTGGGCGAGTATACGTGTCGAGTGCAGGTATGAAAGATGTGAAGTAAATTAAATGTGGATGTGGCAATTATTTTAATTAAAAAAAAAATTAAATAAAAAATTATAGAACACAATTGGATACGATGAGACAAAAGTGCATATCCTTTATGAACCAGAGCATCCACAGCTAGAGGATATGGAGATCAATGGTAGAACAGCAGTGATACACTGGTTAGTGCGTAGCATACAACCGCTTTCTGAGGCGATATTGGATTACAAGCTAGCGGGTGTAAGTACTGAGAAACGGTTAATGATATTATAATAAACTTGCGGAAAGAAAGGGAGGTATGACCCCAATAGTCTAATAACCAATTTCACAAAAACAATTTAAGTGCAATTTTTTTTCTTTTTATTTGAATTCAGGCCTCTTGTAAGTGTGAAAATTTCTGCCTAAAATATTGTTTAGTTTATGCTCTTCCACTCCTTTTCTGAATCATGTCTTCATACGTCAGCGATTTTGTTTGCCTTCCGCTGATATCACGACTACAGAAGCTTCAGCAACATGCCCTAACACTGTTGGGGGAATTTTTATGCTATTACAACAACAACAACAACAACAACGGTAGCACTTAATGAGCCATGAAAAACTATAGGACAACTAAAAAATTCACAATATTTTTTTTTTATAAATCCATCACAGTTCTTGCGTTCCGAGACATGAACGATTTTCGCGACACTATACCACCAAAGTATTGAACTTAGAGGTGAAGATCACCCCTATGGAATTTATAAAAATTTCGCTTAATATGGCTGTATTAACATACCTGAAATTGGTTGCTTTAGTAAACCTTTTTTTTTTGATATCAGCTGGCACCGCTTTGTAAGCTTTGGATAGCTTTCATAAAATTTTTGGACGCTTTCTGGAACTAATTGCTATGAACTTTTGATTGCTTCATATCACACTTCTGAACTGCTCTCAATTTGTTGTCGTGACTCAACTGAACAATTCGGTGTTCGGTGCCGAAAATATATCTAGAAAAGCAGATATATGTAAAATATAATTAATTATGCAAGTAAAGAACGTTAATAAAAACAGGAAAGAATAACACAAAAATTGTGCTGCAAGCTGTCTACAAATCTATTGCTTTATTGCAGTTCTCAAATGGTTTGTGAAACAAAAGTTTCATCTTCCTAATTAAACTAAACAAGTACCTGCGCGCTACGGTATCTATGATTCCTTGCTTAAACGATTACTCGCCTGTTTAATTAAAAACTCGGCCAACAAATTTATTGCTAAATTTAGAGAGCACCGGTTAATTGGTTACTTTGGATAATTAAGCAAAAAAAACTTCGATGTCTTATGCCCAGTTTAGCGGGGGATGCTGTTCTTGTCAATAAGTGTTATGTTTAGAAAAAACCTCCGATTCATTGGCTTTAGGAAACTAGTAGCTTATTTGGTTGGCGATTTTCCTTGGAATTCCAGGGGAAAAGTGTCACTTGCAATTTTCATCACATATCGTCGCCTGGGTAAAAGATTGTCGTATGTTACGCACGTACGTATGACGCTTACGACAATCTTTTACCCAGGCGACGATATGTATTGAGGAAGATAGATACCCAACTGCTATCCGCCATCAAAGAACCCAGACCCAACTAACCTATTAATTTAATTGATTTACAAATTTTAATTTTTGCAATATTAAATATTAAGTATAATTTTCTTAAACGCTGTCGCCTACAGGTAGTCTCATATATACTTCTACATACATATATACAACATATTTCTATATCTAACCGCGCACATTTTTCTCGATTATGTAAATGCACTTGAAGCATCTAACGGGTGATTTTTTTGAGGTTAGGATTTTCATGCATTAGTATTTGACAGATCACGTGGGATTTCAGACATGGTGTCAAAGAGAAAGATGCTCAGTATGCTTTGACATTTCATCATGAATAGACTTACTAACGAGCAACGCTTGCAAATCATTGAATTTTATTACCAAAATCAGTGTTCGGTTCGCTTTACGTCCGATTTATGGTCTACATAATCGACCAAGTGAGCAAACAATTAATGCGATTGTGACCAAGTTTCGCACTCAGTTTACTTTATTGGACATTAAACCAACCACACGAATGCGTACAGTGCGTACAGAAGAGAATATTGCGTCTGTTTCTGAGAGTGTTGCTGAAGACCGTGAAATGTCGATTCGTCGCCGTTCGCAGCAATTGGGTTTGCGAAACACATTTCGAACCGAACACTGATTTTGGTAATAAAATTCAATGATTTGCAAGCGTTGCTCGTTAGTAAGTCTATTCATGATGAAATGTCAAAGCATACTGAGCATCTTTCTCTTTGACACCATGTCTGAAATCCCACGTGATCTGTCAAATACTAATGCATGAAAATCCTAACCTCAAAAAAATCACCCGTTACCACCAACCCAACTATTCAACCATTTACTTGATTGCGCCACTTCCGAGTCGCGCTGTGCGATATCTACTTATTCGTAATCGCCAGCTGAGATATTTGAGGAAGACTTAAACTTTATCGCTATTTACATATTTACGCAACTACAATGTGGTTGGATCGTTTTTTTTTATAACTGCATTTTTATACATAGTACATATATTTTCATTCTACTACATACTACATATAGTCATACACATGGAGCAAGGTATCTGTGGTGCATACACACCGTCATGCGGATAGTAGCATTTGGAAGGTGACTCATGAAATGGAACTCACTCCGGGAAGCTGGCACGTGCGTATGAGAGCGAAAAATACAATTGGTTGGTCGGCATTTTCCGCACAACATGATTTCGTAATCAAAGATGATGATGAGAATGATGGTGATATTGTTGATGCAGGTGGGTACGCATATATAGTGCTTATCACAATAATACGACAACCACACATTGCCAAGCTTCGCTATTAATTTTTTATTATTTAATTCAAATTTTTTACAAAAATATAGCTAATTATATAACAAAAAACATATAAATCCAAGATTTCAACTTTTTACAAAATTTCAAAAACGAGTAATTTTTAGCAAAAAAAACGACTTTAATTCTCATATGAAATAAAAATATATTTATATTGGACTGCATCACCAAAAAAAGTTGCGGTTTTTCCGACGGGATTACAAAATTTATTATATTTTATTAAGACGTCCACCAAAATATTTCGGAAAAATATTAAGATTTAAGTGAGCTGGACCGATTTGAAAATACCTCCCAAAATGTAGTTTTTTATGAATAAAAATAGTTTCTTAAAGAACTTTTTGAAAAAAGTCCCCTCAGATGACAAAACAGATTAAGCTTAAAAAATCTGCACAAAAATATTTAAAAATCTTTTAAACGGAGTCGTAAGAATGAGATTTCTGATACAGTTTTTTACTTTTTTCAAAGATTAATTCTGATTTAGACTTATTGGATCTCAGTTGAAAGGTATTTTCACACTGTTTTTATTTCTGTCCAAAAAAAAGTCATTCGTGTCCCAATATCTTTTTTTAAATACCAAAACATCTTAATTCAACTCTGAATGACGTTCCTTAATCCTACCTTTCACTTTCATCCTTTGAATGAGTTTATTAGCAAAGAAATAAAAAGGTAGAGAAAATACCTTTCTAATGACACCTCCTAAGTCTAAGAGTTTAGGTTCAGTTATTCAAGTTTTTAAAAAAAAAGTTAAAAAACAGCATCAAAAATCTCATCATTACGATTCCGTTCAAAATTTTTATTTTTTTTTTAATATTTTTCTGCAAATTTTTTAAGCTTAAGCCGTTTTGTCATTTGAGGGGATTTTTTTTTTTAAATCTTTAAGAAACTATTTTTATTCATAAAAAACTCCATTTTTGGAGGTATTTTCAAATCGGTCCAGCTCACTTAAATCTTAATATTTTTCCGAAATATTTTGGTGGACGTCTTAAAATATAATAGATTTTATAATTCCAATGGAAAAATAGTAGCGATTTTTTTTGTATGGGGAGTGATGCAGTCTAATATATATGTATATATATCTCATGATCCACTGATCTGATCTTAACCAGATTAGTATATATTAGTAGTATAATAAAGTGCACGATTGAAGTAGCTATAAAATACCGTTGAGTTTTGGCAATTTTATTTATTTTTTCTTATCGCGTTGTGCATTTTTCTCCATTAAAAAAAAACGTTGAACATACTGGGTATTTGTTAAATGTTTTTTAACCCTTAACTACTGTGCTTAAAAAAGACTCTAAACTACTGATGTTGGTTTGTACGACCACACAAATTTTATTGTTAAGTAATATAGTATATATGTAGATCGTTTTACTAAAAATTGTTTTTAATGAAATTATTACCCTTTTGACTTTACATAAAAATAAAAGCTTCCAACTTTTTTTTTTGAATTCACCCAAATTTATTTTAAATTGTATTATCAATATTTTCACACCATATATTAAGAAAAAAAAAAAAAACAAAGTAGCAAAAAATTGATTCCTTTATTTAAAACGAGATATACTGTTTCAAAATAAAAATAAAAAATAAATTAAATAAAATATCTGGCAAATTCCACAATGTCTAGAAACTAGTAAGGCATTTTTCTTGTCTTTTCCTACGCATACCTTGTAAAATCAAGAAATAAATATGTTAAAAATTAACTATAAATTTTCTTTGAAGTTATAGAAATTATTACAAATATAAGTACTGATATGGTTTGATAGGAGAAACAATCGAAAAACAGTTATGTACGTCAATGCTGATGTTGGACTCGCAAGTAATTAAAATGCGATTCCTACCGCACTTGTCACCGCACACGTTTGCTCGCTACCGGAATTAACTCATTGCTGACTCGGTAAAAGCTATTCGTAATATGTGACCTGGTTTACGGAAAGGGGGCTTAGGTGTCAAAAAATCAATTTTCACTTTTTGGTTGATTCGGATGGAAGATGAGATGCTTTTCACTTTTAACAGCTTTTTCACAGAAAACTAGCTTTCGCACGTAAGCTCCCTTTTCGTAGACCAGGTCACATATGACATTTTTTGGCGCGTAAGCAAAATCTTTATTTTGATCAAACAATTTTGTCATGGTCTGATAGACCAACAACAGTAGATACTTAAGGGTTAATTTTTGTAAAGCGTTTGAACATAATAGAAATTAAATAATAAAAAAACTAATTACTCAAAACTTGTCCATATGTGGGTGTCGCATAGTTATGATAAGCACTATACATCCATATATGTATCTGCATATCTATGTAAGTAGATATGCTTGTAGCTGATAACAACTATCAGCTACAGCTTCTTCGCATATAACTTTTCACTCTATCAACCTCTCTCTCCCGCAGATGATTTGGATACCACGGATGCGCCGGGTAATATGATAGCGGTGGCAAGTTTTGGTGGCAGCTCAAAGAGTACGAACAGCAGTGGTGTAGTGCGCAGTATTTCACACACAATGATTGCTATCAGTGGCGCTTGCATGCTTTTTATGTTCCAAGTTGGGTGTTAGACTATACAAAAATTTTGTAAATATTTATGTTTATGCGCATACAAAAGTATTTTAATTTACGCTAAATATAAAATATTTATTAATTCAACTACATATGTGAATGTTGTAAAAAGATCCTATATTTATATGTATAAGCGAAACAATGGTGCCAAACATAGAACTATTGAAAGAAATGTATTTGTATAACGAGTCAGAAACATATATTTTAAATAGGCCATAGTAAAATAGAGTTTATTCAAAAAAAAAATACGTGTACATTAGACCGTACCACACCTTACAAGCAAACAACACAAAAAGGTCGCCATACATCCCTGAGTGTAAAGTATTTTTGAAAGGCAATTGCGAAATTTTTGTCGCCAAACGAAGATGTCGCCTTTTTACATTTTTCGACACCTAAAATTTTTCAATATTGATAAGTCACTCAGGTCTAGTGGATAGGCACTAGGACGGAGTACTTTAGGTCAATGAATTTTGGTACACAAAAATTTTCTCTTTGACGAAAAATGTAAAAAGAGAACCCCTACGTTCCGCAAAAAAAAAAATGATTTTTGTTTGTAATTGACTTGCAAAAATACTTTTTAGACTCAAATGTGTACTGCGAACTTTTTTGGTAGGGTGACCCTACTAGGGTCTGATGTACATACATACATACATATTATGTATAAGTGACTGTGCCGTAAAAGAGTGCCAAAATATGTTATAACTTATAAGCATATATGTATATATAAATACAAATTAAAACAACCATTGAAAAGGTCCATAATTAAGTTTCTTACGGGTGTATGCATTAAGCAGGGTCTACAATGTCAGCTTGTAGTTGAAAGCATGATAAAAATATAGTAAGGTAGAACCGCTGAGAGTCACTTTTAAAATTCTTGACGTTTCCAAACAATTTAATTTTTAAATTTACTCACAAACTCACACACACATTTTCATTTTCAATCTCAAGCAACAACAATTTCGAACAATTTCATTTTTTTATTTTCACTTTTATATGATTTTAAAATGTTGGCAAACTTCAAAAAAAAATCATGGCCGACAAATTGAGAGAACGGTTATACCTTGCTATGTTTTTATCATGGTTGAAAGTGCTTTTTTAAATTTTTTTCTATTTCATTTGTACAAGGACTTCTGAAACGAAGACAATTTTAAGAGAAGCGCTCTAGCCTCTCTTAAAGTATTTTTTAGAAGAGCTGGCATCAAAACTTCAAAGTGTTAAGAAGATTCACGAAAAAAACATATCACACATATTCACTACAACAAAAAATTCTGTGCAATTACAAATTGTTATTAGTGTAAGTAGTTTTAGTTGAAAGTTTAGGGACTTAAACAAAGTTCCTAGTATCTATGCAAAAGAATAAATGTTTGTGTACATGTATTAATGTATGTAATTTCGAAAACAACATTTTTTAAACTTCCAACTTGTGGCCAGTACAATAAATTTTCTTAATTTTGTTTAAGTACCTACTGAAATATTGTAGGCAAGAGGGAAGGTCGAAAAGTTTTGAGCCTAAGTACCTTTAAGTGTCATTAATGTCTTGAACTGCGTGTCGCTAATTGCTAATATCCTTGGTAGTATAGAGACCGAATTTCATGTCATTAAAATCATTGCGCATTCAGTAATTGAGCGTAAACATCACCATGTCTGAGTCATCTACAGAGCAGAGCTGTCAACAAATTCCTCAAAAAGAAGAACAAAACGCTGACGGAAATATTTTGAAGAGATGTTTACAGTGTATGGGGAGTCTGGCAGAGACCAAAAGTGCGACAAGTGGTGGTCGAGAAACGGAGAGACAAACTGGCGAAATAAGTCCTGAAGACCGTGCACACTGCGCGAGTTGCAAGGCGCGCTCTGGACGAGACTGGATTTGAAGAAATCAACCACCCACCACACAGTCCAGACCTGGCCCCCCGCGATTTGATGAAAAACCTTCGAGGGCGAAAATTTTCGAGTGAAGTTGGAATGAAGATGGCGGCAGTAGACGAGCACTTTGAAGACAAAGGCGGAGAATATTTTTTTACAGGGTTCAAAGCCCTTTATTATAAATGTAAGAAGTGCATTGAAGTGAAGGGAGATTATACTATAGAAAAATAAAATTTTTATAAATTTTTTCAGTTACTTTAATACCTTATGTGCTATTTGCAGCTCTCAAGAAAAACGCAAAATGCATTTTATTCTATCAAAATTTCTTAAATCTGTTCGCAGCTCTCAAGAACAAAATGCACATGCATATATTTATTTCTTCAAGAAAATTTTGAGCAAAAGCAAAGGTTTTTTCTTTTTTCAAGTAACAGAAACAGCCCTTTAGGCTTACACTTTTTCAGCCTCCCCTCGTATATCCCAAACTTAAATTTCCGTTTCGTGGTAGACGTGTTTTTCTTTTTGTGGCAATTGCAGTCATAAGACAAAATTCGTGAAAGGAACGCAAGGTTATGACGAAGAGTGCATATAATATGTGCATTAGGGTGGTAAAAAGAAGTGAAGTCGGAATTTGAATGTTCTCACCGCCTAGAACTTTTCTATACCGAGAAAAATATGCCCCTGTTTATGTTTTATTTTGAAATCAAAACATATGTATTTAGAGGTCGCTCAAAGCGCTCAATATTTTCCGTGTATTTATATGGGTGGAAAAAACAATTTTTTGTAGAAATGGTATAGAATTTTTGAAAATCAATATTTTTCTATCGAAAAACTCAGGGGACTTCAAATAAAAATACCCAATTGTTTATTCAACCATTTCTTAATAGTAACTATATTTTATGGGACACCAAATTGCACATTAGGGTGCTTTTTTTTTGCGACTATTTTTTTTTCGGTCCCATCGTGAAATTTTGTTGGAAATACCCAAAAAAAAATTCCCTGAAAATTTGAGCCCTTAATATTAATTTTAAGTACTCGGCCAAGGCGTGTGAAGATTTTCCATTTAAAATACACGGGAACTTTGATTTTTTTTTTAAATTTCTATAGCTCAGCGGCATATTCTTTTATTATTTATCACTACTTTTTTAACTAATTACCTTTTTTTTTAAGATGAATATTTTTTATAATTTTACGTGATTTTTGATAAAAATTTAAAACTTCATAAACTTAAAATTGAAATATCTCAAGCAGTATTGAAGATAGCGATTAAGCGCTAATGAGCTTTTTTGTAGGAAATAAAATTTCCTACAAGTTTCTCATTTACATTTTTTCTATAGCTCTTGTCATTTACGAGATAAATGCGAAAAAACGTAAATTTCATGAAAAAATCAGGTTTAGTGGCCCGTACTACCTCTAAAAATTTGTACTCATGACAGCGTAAACAAGCAGTTATAATAGATTTTAAAGGATACATATTTTTTTAAGTAATTATATAGGTGTATGCAAAAGGCAGGGGTATGTATTTATGAATATTTTTGTAATATCTTTTTTTTGTTTAAATCTATTTTTATATATACACTTGTACATGTATGTATTAAAAAATAGCTCAAATAGCTTTTTTAGTTAGACACAATTTTAGCCAGAGTTACGATAAAAAATACTCCTAAAAACTCAAATTAGTGATCTGTAGTGTATGAGTTCCTCCATCGTTTGATGTACATATGTACATATAGATGTTTTTTTTTTAAAAGCATTTGCTAAAAGTTTTGATTTAGTAAAATTTTCTATACTCTCTTCTCTTCTACTGTTTTTATGTAAAATAATGGCACTTTTCGGTTTCACTGCTTTCTATTTCACTTTCACATGCTAATCTACCTACATACATACATATGTACATATATTTGTATATAGTAGTATATACGCCACAAGTATTCCATCAATTCCTCGACTTTCTGAATTAATACTTATTTTCACTTAATGCTAAACCACATACATACATATTTCGTCACCTAGCTCAATTTAGCATTATATTTAGCATTACAACAACAAGTGCAAGTTAATTATGCGACTGCTAGGGATTTGTTGACATTTCACATGGGAAATTTCTATTATAACTGCTGTTTAGGTTTCCAAATTCTCCGGCGGACAATACAAGATCCTTACACAACAACGAGTACATTATCCGACTGTGTATGTAAATAAATACGTTTTTATATACGACGCATACATATGTACATATATGTAATTTTATACTAAATCAACAACTACAGGTTTGAACAAATACGCGTCAACGTGGAGTTTTTGGCTTTTCACTCCTTTTCGCTCAGAATACATTCTTGTTTTTTTTTTTT